CCCCCCAGCCTCCCTCCTCGTGTGTCTGGTCCATGAAACACGTGATGCTGTAAGAGACTGCAGGGACGCGCGGCCGGGCCGGGCACACCTCCCGGGTGGACCAATGGGAGCCCAAGGTCCCCGACTAACGAGCAGCTCCCCGTCCTTATCTGTGTTTGCCGTGTGGTCTTCTCTTCCTTTAAAGGAGCTCCCGCACCATCCCCACCGCGACCGTCGTATTAATTTTTGGCGATCGTGTCGGCAGCCTCGGTGGTGTGGCAGGGGGTGTGGAAGTACCAGGGTGGTCCATGTGCATCCTAAGTGCTCACCCTTTACCAGCCCCCGTCCCCGCTGCCCCTGGCACCAGCGGCAAGTTCGGCAGCGGTAACGAGCGCCTGCGTCACTCGGGTGCCGAATGTGCTGCCTACCTGTCAGGCGCACGGACGGCTTAGTTTGGGGCGGGGTGGGGGGAGGTATTGGGTAAAACATATCCGGCAGCGCAATGCGACGGGCCCCGACGCGTGAGTCGGAACTGTTTTGCTTAATCGGCTACTCTAACTCGGTCAGTGAGACTAGCGCTGTCGCACGCACCGCGCTGCGCTAGTGCGCTGGCCCCGGAACCTTAGTCGTGAACCACCCGGCCTCCGGCCCGGACACCCGCGGTCCAGTCAGTCGCTCCTGAATCCGCGCCTGCTATAGACCTCCAGAGGCCGCTTGCTCTTGCGATGGCCCCAATCCCTCCGCATGTTTCACATACCATTGCTGTGTCCCGATTTTATGGCTCGCACGCTCTCCCATCATCTCATGACACGAATTAATATAGCATCCTGCGCTGTGTGTGTGTGTGTGTGTGTGTGTGTGTGTGTGTACCGTGCCGTGCAAAGGAAGCGCGCGTGTGTGAGTGTGTTGTACGCGTTGTGCGAGTGAGTGGTAGTGTGTGGTGAACGGAGCGAGTGAGACGCGCGCGCCGGCGTGCGAGCGAGAGGGTGTGTGAATGTGGGTGCTCTTTGACGCCCTGAACGTGTGTTAGTTATCAACATCAGCCAGCAAAGACGACGACGGCAGAGGGCAGGCAGTCGCTAGGGGCCGCGCCGCACTCTGCAACTCGCCTCCTCCGGTAGTGGCCAGCGACCGCAGGACCGCAGAACCCCGCGGCAGCAGCGATGGCCAGCGCCGTCCTCATCTCTGCGCCAAGTGAGTGGTGGGCGCGGGGCTCAGGCGCGGGAGGGGGGGGGGCGGGGCATGGGGAGGGGGCGATCACCCTCGCCCCATCCCCCATCGCCTGTAGTGAGCCGCCTGAAAGGAAGGCATGTGCGCTACAAAAACCCTGTAAGTAGGCAACCTACAGTGCACCACCCCCTGCTCCCCCCCCCTCCCCTCCGGCGTTTTAAAACGTAAATTTTGGGGACGAATACAGGTTGCACTACACTCGCCCGTTTTGTAAAGAATTACGCCGGGACACGAGATATTTGGTTCGTACTGTGGGAGCAAGAAGAACAAAAGATACGGGTTGCACCTTAAACCCTGAAAATAGGGCAAGGACGCCGCCGCACCGGGAATCACTAGGGGTACTTCACTCAAAATTTAAGCATACACTCACTGTTTCTGTTTGCTCTTGCCATTTCTTTGATTTTTCCTTTTTTTCGATTTTGTAAAATGATTAGTCTTTTTTTTTTTCAACTTGTTTTTGGGGGTGTGCATTGAGTGTAGTACCTCTCGGGGGCCCACCCCCACCCCCGCGCCCTGTCTCGACCCTCACCCCCACCCGTGACCGCGCCTCTGCTGATCGCCAGGGCAGCGCTTCGGCGTGCGCCACCTCCAGGCCTCGCTCATGGCCCTCACCTCGCTGGTGGCCTACACGCTGCGGGCCAACCTGAGCGTCGCGGTGGTCGCCATGGTCCGTACGCCATCTCCCGACGGCCCGGGCAACTCCAGCAGCAGCAGCCAAGGGGAGGGCAGCGCCGAGGAGTACGGCGTGGGCGGCGCAAGGGTGAGTCACCACAAAGGCTGAGCTACCCCGCGCGGGGGGTGCTGGTGAGCCTGCCTGCGCTCCCTCCTCACCCTCACGGACTCGGCCCCTCGCAGGTGTTCGACTGGGAGGAGTGGCAGCGGGGCTGGCTGCTCAGCGCCTTCTTCTGGGGCTACACGCTGAGCCAGGTCCCCGGCGGCACGCTCTCCCACCGGCTCGGCGGCGCGCGCCTCCTCAAGTTCGTCATCATCTCCACGTCGCTCTTCACCGTGGCGTTCCCGCTGTGCGCCGAGTACGGCGGCTGGCTGGCCGTGTTCGCCAACCGCGTCGTGCAGGGTGTGACGCAGGTGAGCGCCTGGCGGGCCTGGCGGCCGACCACCGCCTGCCTTTGCAGTTAGCCTGCCCCGCACGCACGCGTGTGCGCGGGTTGCCTGTCTCGAGGCGGTGAGGCGCCCTTTTGGTCAGTTTACAACGGCACCGACCGAAATGCCAGTCGTTTTTATTATGAAATTAATCAACACCAGGGCCCGCTCTACCCGTCTATTTACACCCTGCTGGGAGTGTGGGTGCCACCGCAGGAGAGAGAGTTCGTAACGACGCTCGTCATGGGAAGTAAGTAAAGCGCCCCCTCTCCCTTCCCCTTGAACTTCTTGTTTTTAGCCCGCCCTTCTGCTTTTAAAAAAGCATTAAAACGGGCTTATGCAACCGCTCTCGTGTCTGTCTGTCTGTCTGTCTGTCTGTCTGTCTGTCTGTCTGTCTGTCCGTCGTCCGTGTAAGAGGAAGGAGATGAGCTAGAGGTCTACAAATTTCAGGGTATCTTAGGGGTCACTTCTGGACAACGAAACGCCTGGTGCAAATCCTGGCAACCACCCCTAAGGGGGTGAAAGGGGGTAACAAAAAAATAGGGGTTGATCCAAAAAGTTGGAAAAAAATATTTTTTTTACGGTCTCCTTAGGGGTAACTCGTGAAAGTAGAGCCCTTTGGGCGAAAATTTTGTCCGTTTAACTCTATCTTGCACCGTTTGGGCGCTAGAGTGCTTTTTTCGACGAAAATACGGCGAAAATGACCACGTTGCACATAAAGACGTACAAGGAGGCGTCCAATCGTAAAATGTCAGAGGAAGTACCCCCCCAAAACAACACCTTCTGAATCAGGAACTAGCCTCCGATTTGCCGTATCTTTCACTGTTTCGGCCCTAGAGGTGGATATATTGAAAACAACGGCAAAAAGTCAAGTTTTAGGACTGTTTAACAAACAATATACAACCAAAAAACTGCGCGGGTTCGTTTTTTTAAATTCTTAACCAAAGCAGAAGGGTGGGGTGTAGTCACGGTGTTGCCCCGTTACAGTCTTTTGTCATGTCCAAGGAGCAAATTTCTAGGGCCGCAGTCCCCTCGCCGGATGCTTTAGTTTACTCAAATATATAATATATATATAAGTGATTTACCGGTCACATTATTTATTTGATTATGCACTTCAGTAAATCGTGGGACTGAAATGGTCGGGCCGAAGGCCCGACCATCGCCGCCGGCAGGCCAAGCAGGCCCGGCCCCTGCCGAACGGAGTTGCCGGCGCAGCGAAGTGGAGCTGGCAACTCCGTTTGGCGGAAGGGCGGGCCTGCTTGTTGATAATTGTGCGTTCCCAATACAACGTTTTGTGTTGCAACTCTATGACAGCGCAGCTGCTCGCCCCAGCTCTGGCCTCCCCTGTGTGCGGCTACATGGCCGCGAACTGGGGCTGGCCGTCCATTTTCTACGCGTTTGGGGCTGCCGGGCTGTTCGTGGGCGGGCTGCTGTGCTGGCTGGCCTCGGACAAACCCTCCCTGGACACTCGGATCTCGCCCGAAGAGGTGGCCTACATCGAGAGCTCCCTTCAAATGACAGAGTCCTCGTTAAAGGTAACCCTCCTTAATAATCCACAAAAATTAAATAAAGTCAAAGTAAATGTATTTTTAACATCTCCTGTGCCTTCTGTTTTGATTACTTCAGAAGACGGCACCGCCACTCACACCGTGGCTCTCCGTCCTGCGTTCGCCGTGCGTATGGGTGTTGTGGATCAGCATGTCCGTCCAGGCCATGGCGTTCTTCATCCTGCTCACCACCATCCCGACGTACCTCAGCTCCGTGCTGGGCTTCAGCCTCGAGGAGGTGAGTTTGCCGCTGACCGACTCCAGGGGCCGCGCGCCGCGCGCCCGACGGGCAGGCAACCCATCTGACACCACCGCGCCGGCGGCGGCCGCCCCGCATCGTTTCAGAACGGGCTGATCACCGCGCTGCCGTACCTCACCGGCTTCTTCGCCTCCTACCTGTTCATGGGCGCAGCCAACGTCATCAACTCCCGTAAGCTGCTCAACACTACCAACTCCAGGAAGCTCTTCAACGCCCTGGGTAAGAAGGGCGGACGGGGAGGGGAGGGGGATGTGACCACCAGGAGTGGTAGGTTGTGAGCGTTGTGACCCCGTTTCTGACGCACAGCGGGCGTCCCCATCTCGATATGCGTGGTCGCCACGGGGTACGTCAGCTCGCCGGCCGTCTCCGTCGTGCTCATCTGCCTGTCGATGGGCTTCTTCGGCTCGACCATCGTGGCCGTGCAGGCCAACTACCTGGACATCGCACCCCTGCACTGCGGCCCGATCTACTCGGTGGGCAACATGATGGCGGCGCTGCTGGGCGTGGCGGCGCCCATCGCCGTCGGCTTCATTGTGACCAACCCGGTGCGTACCCTTTCGGCCAGCCCCGAACGCAAACCCGAGTCCATAGCGCGCCAAGAACGCCATATGGGGGGGGGGGAAATGACCATGTTTTATCTGATTTCTCCTGTTAAACACCACATCAACCAATGACTTCTTCTTCTTTTCTTCTCCCCCCTGCCCCCCCCTCCTCACGGTGGGCGTTGGCTAAGGAGTGACCTGCTGCTGTCTTTGCAGAGGGACGTGCTCCAGTGGCGGATCGTGTTCTGGTTGGAGCTCGTGTGCATGTGTACCGCGGTCGTGTTCTACACCTGGCTGGGGTCCGGAGAGGTGCAGCCCTGGAACGACCCGGCGTACAACAAGAAAAGTAAGAATAATGGGTATAACGCTTTATTATAATACGTAATGACCCATGCGTCCATGCGTATCTGAATGAAGCGCAGACGTCAAACAGGAACAGGACTGCTTGTAAACAAATTCCGTCGTAGATTATCAAGAAATCACCATGGAAATTCTTTGATGCCACAACACCTTTCTTGTTGCAGAGACCTTCAATATCCAGGAGGTTGAACGCGCAGAATCAGAGGACGACGATGACGCTCTCAAAAAGGATACCGACAACAATTCTTCGGACCGAACAATAATGTGCAATAAAAACGTTGAATGAAACCTAGATCGTCTATTTATCGTTTATTAAGTGAATGTATATATACACCGTAGGTTTTGACTTTTTGCAAAGTAAAATAACCAAATAATATTCTACCGCATGCAAGCGCGCGGGCGGGTTGTGTTGTGCCTTCCGTATCCGTCGTCCACTTGCTGCCTGTAAGATGGCTCCCAGCGAGTAGGCAACCGTCCCGCACTCCTGCAAGCGGTACAGTATAACTATTAATACACAGTAAAGAAGAGGACTCCGCGGGACCATCAAAAGATAATCTTGACGGCCAAGTCCTCCCAGTCCAAAACGAGAAGATTCCAGCCCCGGCACATTTCTCACGCGGGGTATGTCCCGCGCTGCTCCCCGGCGGCGCGTCGCTACCCCGAGCCCCAGCGGCATTATTTGAAGCTTCCCGCTCGACGCGCGAGAGCGCGCCTCCGGCTCCCCGGCACGCCTTTCCTCGTGCAGGACGCGCGGGGCCTATCCACGCGCGTCAGAGTCTACGACGATCCGCGACCCATTCGGTCCAAAATACAAAATCCTCTCGAGATGAAAAGTTGGAGGGAGTA